GTTTATCAGGATATCAGCAACATTTTACTAGTTAGCCACTTTTTGATATCTTTTACAGAAAATGAGATGTATAGGCTCAAAGTGGACGATCCGGGTGTCGTTCTATTAGAGGTTTTACGGTAGTTAACTTTCCCTCTCCAGGATCGGCTGGTTTGATAGCAAATTAACATAACGATGATCAAAATTTGGAAAAATATACTCTCGAAAAATGCCATTAACTTTGAGCCATTTTATCTCGATTCCTGTCAAACTTTAAAAAAAGTTGCTAACTGATAAATTGTTTACTATAGTATTACAAACATTCTTACAGTCGACAACTTTTTAGTATCTTGCATAGTAGCCAAGAAAAATCAACTCAAATGTGACAGTGTGAGGGCCCTTCTCTCGCGGTAGTTTGCATTCAAAGAAAACTACGTGCTGGTCAAAGAGACAAACTTTTAAGAACTTTTTTTAAAAGAATGCGTAGCATACAACTGTAGTTTTTGTAGCAACTCCCTCTATCTACCCTTGATCACCCTTAAAATCTCTCAATTCCCCCACTCTCCTCACTTTCTGTCCGTTGTGTTTGTGTACATACATTGCGCAGCACCACAACAGCCGCGGCAGAGACCGTCACCTTCTTCCTATACTCCCACCGATCGCTTCATGTGCTCTTTTGTGCTCTCCGCCTTCAACTCCACATGTTCCTGTTTGAGGGGCGGAGCTTCTTAGTAGGACGTTAGGAACTTCTCGTCATTCTTGACCTCTGCTATACTCGAACTCAAAATTCTTGCTCTATCAAGCTTGTTGTATTTCAAAATGACTATTCCAATTGACACACAGAAATGTTGGAAAGCTCACAATCTGTAAGGCGGATAGGGGAGGAAATGATAGATTATAAATTTTCTTATTTTTTTGGGAAATGCAATTTGTTTATTTTCCAGGTTACAACTCAGTCAGCTCAAAGAAGCACGTCTTTCGGAAACCACGACGGTCAAAATGTTATCTTTGCTTAAGGTAAGGCGACAACTGTGTTTTAAAATAAAATTACATTGAAGAATTACTATCATATCGTAAAACCAGTAATAGAAGGCATCCCTTACTATCAAGTTCAAGCTCAATTATCTCAGTTCCTCGGCAAGATATGTTTAACAATTTATCAGTTCACAACTTCAACTAGGAACCGAAAAAAGCTGACTCAAAGTTAAAAGTTAGACTGCCTTTCTATTCCAGTAATCATAATAAGAGAATCCATTTTTGGAGATGCTTCATCAGTTTTGAAGAAATTTTTTTCTTAAATATATGGAAAACTCTCCAGGATATTTTGAAATTTTTTCTTTTTAGGCACTGGCCAACATTCATGTTCTCCTTGGTATTATCATGATTGTGCTCAGCGGTTTGGCAGATTATACCAGTACACGGATAAACACAATTCGGTTGCATGGACTCGAGGAGATTTGCTCATTCTATTTTGTGCTAGTGGGGTCAGTCAAGTTCAGCATGCTAAGCCCAAAATATCAAGAAATCCTTCATTTGAAATTTCCGAATGTTGTTTTAGCGAAAAATGACAAAGTGAGTGAGAGAGTGAGAGTGAGAGACGCAGGTGCTTTAAGACCGTGACTGAGAACCGTGATTTGTGAAGCATTGGGGAGGTCATAATTTCTAGGAATTAAACCATGATTTGTGTATGTGTAGTGTGAGAATAACTCGTCATAGAGAGAAACAAACAAAGGTAATTGCTTCATTTCATTCGTTTCAGGTTGGTCGGAATTTGTGGTAGTGCTTCTTACCGCCGGGGACTTGTCATCACCTATCTGGTTATGTGTATTCACTCCATATTCATTTTTGTGCCAGCGATTATAACAGTCTCCAGTTTTGATATTCATTTCTATCAGGTAAGTATTTTTGGTAACGCTTTGCCGACACTGAGCAAATATTTTGCTTGTATCTTTCGTCTTTCCAATATATTCCTCTTCCAGCATGAATGTTGGGGAGAGTGCGACTGGCACTTGCTTGCCACGTCACTTCCGACGAACAGCAGGTGTCAAATCATGTGCGGGGATCATGTCGATGACGCAATGAGGAGGTGAGAGCTAGTTTCTTAATTATTTGGATTTCGAGAAATTTGAGTTTTTTTTGTGGAGACTTCTTTATAAGTAACCTTAAAACAACAGCTCATAGAAAAAATACAGTCCAAGAGTTCACAAATGTTTAGTATGATACCAAGTCCGAGCAAATATGAACGATGAGCAATCCACTTGATAAAACTTTGATGAAATTTTCGTACGCCAGATGATCTATTCTTAGCTCATTTTAATGTCTTGACCAGGACTGGGGGTGAAATTTTTGGGGAATCCCTAAAAGTATAATTTACAAATCAAATGTCTTTGAAATTCCTTAAACTCCATAAATTCTCAGAATCATATTTTTTGGTCAATAAAACCCATATCTCCTAGTTTTGGCGCCTTGTGGCTTTGGTCTAGGGAGTCCTCGTTACTTTTAAGCACAAAACGTGTCTTCAATGTTTTTTCAGAGATTCAGAGAAATGTTATACTAGGAAAACACTGTACTTTTTCAATTATTACATTGGAAATTCCCGCAGTTACAGTACCAGTCAACGAGATAAACGAAAACGTATTTTTCAGTTCACTTCCGGTCAGTCTGACCATTTTCAGAAGTCTGGAGTTTGGCTCTTTAGTATCCGACTACTGACAATTTTGGAGTGTGTGAAACAAACATAAATTTGAAACATTGCGTTTTCGAAATTTTGAATTTCCTTGGTTTTCAGCTATTTGCCGATTTTTGGAAAATGCCCTTTTTTGCATTTTTGTACTCAAACATGAAAAAAACAGGAGTTGTCTGAAATAAAATCTGAAAAATTGAGAGATTTGAAAAAACTTGTGAATGTAAAAGTTTCAATCTAGGTTTGTTTCACATCCTCCAAAATTTTCAAAGTAATCGAAAACTTGACAGCCAAGCTCCAGACACCTGAAAATAGTCTAAATCAACTGAAAAATACGTTTTTGTATATTTAATTGTTCGGTACTGTATCTTGACCACCTTAACCCAATTTGTTCATTTCAGAAGGATGACACGCCTCGGAACGGACTACCGTCTTGACGCCGGTCTTATCTCATTGGCAATTCTCGAATTCATCCTTTCAATTGTTACCTGTGTCGTTGCTTCAAGAACACTTTTCTCTCCATTAAAGGTATTATTTTGTTTTTTTTCTTAACAGTTTTCATTGTCTGGTTTTTTTTCCAGGAGCTTGGAGATCAGGGAGCTTCTGGAGAATTGACAGTCGAGTTGCAGCCACTGAATCAATCTGAAGAACATACAGATTCCATTCCAAACGGATCAACACATTGAGATATTATAATGATAAAAAATCAAAAATCAAACGTCCAGTTCAAAAAAAAAAAGAATTTCATAATACTAATTTTGGGTAGTACTTTTTCCGGTATAGCGATATTCAACTCATGAACTAAACTTACAAAATATTCAGCATTTTTTCCCTAAAGAAACGATTCTCAAATTTTTTACGGTCCGAACTACATTTTTTAGAAAATGCTGTTCACTTTTATTTACCCCTCTTACTGGTTTTTAATGGTTTCAAAATGTTTCTCAAAATTTAATAAATTTTTTTTGCATTATGTGATAACAAACTTCAAAGTTATTAATTCATTCATTTCATAGAAAATACATCACTCAAAACTAAAAACATTAGAAATTCATTGATTTTCCGGGTAGGAAGTAGCCAGACAAGTTCCAGAACCATCTCCACAAGCTTGGGTGTATGAGACGACAGTAATTGGGAAGTTGTTGACCTTGAAGTGACAGTTGGCTCCGTTTCCATGAGCGAGTGTGCAAACCGTGAAGATGGAAAAGTCGAATGCTGCAAAAATAGCAAACATAAACATTTGAGAACTCATATTTGGCTACAAATATAGTTTGAACACATACCTGGGGAAGTTCCAGTGAAGAATCCTCCAGTTGGTTTTGTGGCTCCGTTCCATTGATATTGGAAGGTTCCAATCAAGTTCTGAAATTTTTAAATTTTGCGGTTTCAGAAGAAAAATAAGAAAATCACTTCATCGTGACTGTAATATCCTTCATAAACCATGTGGTCTGCCTTTTGCTCCATGTAATATCTGATCCAGTCGTGTTGACCATCGACTCCATTACCCTTGATCTCTCCGGAGAAAACGTGCTCCCATCCTGCAATAAAAAGGCTCCATTTTGAGTTTGTAGCCAAACAGTAGTTTTTAGTTTGCCCAAACACTTGTCAACACGAAATGTCATGCTATTTTCTGAACTGTTTGTTGATACACATACCTGAGCTACCAAGTGGACCTTTGCATCGCGAGTATGTTCCAAACCAGAGTGGCCACAAAACCTTGGTCTTGAAGTTAGCCAACGAGCTTGTCTCTTTGTAATTGATCGATTGAAGATAGGCAAAAGCAGAAGTGAACATTGGAGTGGCGGTGAAAGTGTCAAATACTTGTTGGAAATATTGCTTTCTGAATCCACTCATAGCTGGCTCAGCTTTGCAGACATCAGCGGTAAGGAGGTTTTGGGTGTATGTTGTGATAAGATCAGCGTATTGCTTCTTATTGAAGATCGACTCATCAACAGTAGAGAACAAGCTAAAATTTAAGATTAGCAATGATAAGATTTTGTTAAACCAACTTGGATTGCTTGGATCCCGACTTTCCACTGATATGGGCCCCCCAGTTCATGGTGACTTGAGCTGCAGTTGGTCTATCTTGGTCCTCAGCCCACATCTTATCAACAAGGGTTTGGAGAGCAGCATCAGTGGCTCCATTGTGCTTGGTGGTGGCGGATCCAGTATGTTTGGTAGTGGCCTTGTTGCTTTCTCCGAATGAAATGACAACTTTGTCGAGCTGTAAATCATTTTGGTGATTAATAATGTAGCCAGTAACAACAATGTTATCTGTTACAAACAGCCAATAAGATAGATCAAAAACGTGTTTTTTGAATTGATCTTCGCCGATATAAAGTATTTCCAGGAGTCCGGAGCTCGACTGTCAAGCTTCCGGTCACTTTGAAAATTTTGGACAGTGGAAAAGAGAGCTAGATGAAAAATTTGCATTAGCAGAATTTTATGAAAATTCCAAATTTTTTTGCTGTTTTCCGATTTCTGAAAAAGACTCATCTGTGGTCCATTTTTGTACTGAAAATGGTTAAAAACATGTATTTCAGAAATCGGCGAATAACTGAAAAACTAGGAATTTTCTGAAATTCTGTGTATGCAAAAGTTCCAATCTAGATCTGTTTCACATTTTCCAAAATTTTCAATGTGATTGGAAACTTGACAGGCAAGCTCCAGACTATCGAAAATGGTACTAATGACCTAAAATATATTGAAAAAATATGTTACTGTATATCATATTGACCCTTACTGAACCTTATAGATAAATAAACTAAACTTACCACAGTGATTCCGTTAACTGTCAACGTGGCAGCTTGAATATCAACATTTTCTCCTTGAATCACAACAGTTGGCTGGGTGTTGGTCAAAGCGGCAACAGTATAGGCGGCAAATTCAAACTCTGGAGAAGTGTTCAAAAGGAAAGAAGTCTCAAGATCCTCATCAGCATCACTTGGTCCTCCAACAAATTGAAGGTCGATGGCAATGCCCTGTAAAAAGAGTAAATTGACTAAGAAATTAAATCAATTGAATGTAATCCTGGTGTCGCGTTATCAGTGACTCCCAACACCCTCTTCTTTTTATCAATTAACACGTCTAATAAAATTTTCAGTTTTCTCGTGTTGCTTTTAGAATTGTTGCGATTTTGCCATGCATTCTCTGACCATAGATAGTGAAGATCCGGAAAATTCGGATACCGAAGTTTCGGATAATATTCGTAGGAGGTCCACTATTAACTTAGGAAATCAACGTCAGCGGTAACTTATTTTTCCGGCGATTTACCAAATTTTGAATTCAGAAATGTGCGCCGCATCCGGTTAAAAATCTATAATTTCCTCGAAAAACCATTGAACGCAGCGTCAGCACCATATCATTTTTGTAAGTCGGTGTGACGTCATTGGTTTTAAGATTTTTTCCAGTAATTTTTGGATTGGTAATCGCAAACATAATCCTTGGAGCAGCTACTAATGAAAATGATGGCGTTGTTTCTCAAATTCACTTTTTCCTTGAAATATTTATGATTGTATTTTTCATCCTGGAGTTTGCAGTAAGATTATGGTCTGTTAGGGCAGATGCAAAATATCGGACAAGATACGGTAGTTTTATGTCATTCATTATTCTCCGAATTCATGAATTTCCAGGTCGCATTTACTATTTATTCCATACAGTAACTTTGATAGACATTCTCATCATCCCCGCCACAATTTTATTGCTAGTATTCAAAGGACATGATGTCGACGGATCCACATTGGATACATTACGTTTTATTCAGGTGTTTATATTTATTTTATTGAGCATAAACCCCATTGTTCAGATATTGCGACTTTTTCACGTAGACAGACAAATGGCAACATGGAAATTGCTTCGAAAAATGATTATTCTGGGAAAGTGAGCTATTTTAATAGTTCACTGCTTTTCAACAAATCCCATTTGATTTCATAACATATTCAGATGGCAGCTAATGGCTACCTACTATATAACTTTAGTTGTTGGATTGTGTCTTGCTACAATAATCTACTCAACGGAAGCAATGGCTCAAGGCATTGACGACACAGGATATAGTCTCCGAGTGCCAAACGGGACAGGTAGAAAAAAAGAGATTCAGAAATCCTAGTGCAATTCCCTTCTTTAATACCGCCACATCTTTAATTCCAATATGCTTCGTTTTCTTACAGTACCCACATTTCCAACTATGGCTCATTCCTGGTGGTTTACTGTAGTTACTGTACTCACTGTAGGGTACGGTGACATCTATCCTGTTGGCGCTCTCACTAAATTTTTGGTTTGTGTTCTTGGATTCATTGCATTCTGTACTTTCCAAGCAGCCAATACTCAGATCTCTGTTGGTGAGTTATTCATTGCCAATTAAACAATATTGAGCCTAATGTTACTTCATGGAAAAAATTAACCCCAAATACCCATTTCCAGGGCTCACACTCATGATGGAAGAGGAGAACAAAAACCAACAAACGAACAGGTTGCGAAATTTGGCGGCGTCCACGATTCAGTGTTGGTGGAGATATCATCTTGCCACTAACTGGAAACCGCCTCGTCGTTACACTTATTTTGTCCACGTATGCTACAAGCTATATGTCACCGAAGAGCGTATCAACCAGAATCGAGCTCTCGCAAAGAAGCTGAGAGAAAAATTGGAGAAGTTAGTTATTGAAAAAAAACCTTTTTGAGAGAAATGAGGAAGTTTTTCAGACGTCGACCAACCAAGAAGAAGTCGATGACTCATCAAAACTCTGTCACTGCTGAAATCCTAAAATTTGGGTTCAAAGGAATGGCACGTCCAATGCTGGAGAAGCAGGACAGTTTTGACAAAGGCGAGAGGAAAATTTCTTTGAGAAGAACTGTAAGAGTAGAATTAGTAGTCCAACGCTTGACAATATGTTTCAGAGAAGCGAGGATCGTAGGTCTAGTCTCCCCGATGCTTTAGCTGTCGTTGATCCAGCCATTGTGAGTATTGCATACCTCCAAACCTCAAGTATTTCATTTTTTCAGCGAAAACGAGTTTTGTTTGCTGAGGCTCGAAACAGCTCAGTCGAGACTTCAATGTCTTCATCTGTGGATGTATCCGAGTTAGAGACACAGTTTGAAATCAAAAATTTCCTCGAACAAAATGTTGACGAGCTGAGCTCCAAAGGTATGTGCTAAGAAAAGTTGCTACACAAAGAATGAAGTTTACAGAAGTGGATACAGTTTGCTGATGAAATATCGCCCTCTGCTTCGCTTTTACTACTTCATCATGTTTCGGTTGATCATGAATAGATTCCACGTAAGCATTATCTATATAGAAGTTCTATATCTACTGCTTCAGACCCAACGAATCGCTGGTCAGCTCCTCATGATCGAAGCCGAAATTGCCGAGCGTGAAAATCAGCGAAGTCAGAAAATGAAAGAGCTCGAAGCAGTTATCCTAGAACACACAGGAAAACCAACTTGTTCCCCATTTGATGATTCGGGACTAAAATTGTCACTAGTAGAACGTCTTGAGTTCTGTGAGAAGCAAATGGAAGCATTGGAGAGAAAAGTCGATTCAATGAGCGATTTAACTATCAAGTGCTTAAATTTGATGATGTTAGAGTGAGTTTCGAGTAAAACCATGAGTATAGTTGTAAATGTTTTCAATCTTTTTTCAGCACCGAAATGGCTGAAGCAGCTAAAGATGAGCAGAATGGGCTGCCACCAAAACCGCCGAGTGCTGGAAATCGAAGGAAAGTATCCGGTCCGAGACGTCAAGTTACCATTGTTCACCAGGACACAATTGATGATTGCGAAACTGTTAGCTTGGATAGAGTCTAACTCTTTTATCACCACGTGACAATTTTGTCTTTGATTTCTTATCGCAATTAACTCCACTGCTTGTCTTCAAACATTGAGAACTCTTTCTCCCTAACTCTACACTCTTCTTTCTTTTTTATGATTTTGCTGATAAATCATTTTCTCTCTCTCTCTCTCTCTCCCTTCCTCATATAACTAACTTCATCTAGATGAACATCCCCAGGTTGACCCGTACCCAATACATGACTTACATTGATCTTGGTGAACCATCCATGGTAGTTGAAAATATTAGCAGCCTCCTGAAGATAGAAGCCATACCAGTTGGCGAATCGATTGATGGTTTTTCCATTTGCCTCTCCGTTGAACACAACCTTGAATCCATTAGTTCCGGCAACCTGGTTTCTGGCGTATGGTGCGAACCACAAGTTGTAGAGCTTTTGGTGGAATGCGGAAATATCGTTAGTCAAGACTCCTTGGGCTTGAAGGAAGGTGAATGCTTGTTTGACAGCGTCAGTATTCATGAAGTTGGTAAGGAAGCTGTCAACAGCGGTGGCATAGTTTGAGTCATCAGTGGAGATTGCGGTATCGCTGTCAAGTTGAAAGTATGGCTGAAATAGAAAAACAATTGCTATTATTCGAATTTTCTATTATTAGAATCTTCTAGGACACACCTGCAAGTTGGCAATGCAAAGATAGGTAGCAGTCTCCATGACAGAGTTGTCGACTTTCGTGAAAAGATTGTCCTTAGCGTTATCATGATCTGGGTTCTTTTTTGATGCCATATTCTGATAGTTCAGGGTGACCAAAGAGTCTGTACGCTTGTCAGAAGCTGCCAAGCTGGAGAGGAAGGTATTTACAGCTGCGAGATCGACATTCTGGACCGGTTTGGCTGAAAATATAGAAATTATGACTTCATTTCGTATTGAAGTCTCTTACGAAAACTGTATACAAGGACGGCGGTGGCCAAGATGAGGGTACAACTCCTGAGGATCATCATTTGTGCGGATTGTTGGCTTTACTCCCTGTAAATGTGTGAAATATTAGAACAATCAATACGAATAGGAAAAATTGAAAACTTCGCAACATTTGCAACGGGGAGAAAAGATTGAGACCTAAACTTCTTATCTCTAATTTCGTCTTACTTTTATCTTGTTCTAGTCCCGACCCGAGGCCTTCTTTCTTCTGTACGCTGCTCTTTTTGATGACGACAAAGGGGGCGGCTACTGGTGATGTTGGCGCACATGTCCTGGACAAAACGTGACTATTTCTGAATTGCTGATAAAAGAAAAAGTGAGAATTCAGCAGCAAAAACGATCTTTTTTCGTCTCAAAGTACAGTGGGTCTTCCATGAAATTTTGTGTTTGAAAAATTGAAAGAGAGGGAGGTCGTATTTATAGTCGGCAAACAGTTGCAAGACAGACAGAAATTTCTGAAAAGTGATGCTACTTTGTGTTTAATTTTTGGAAAGAAAGCATTTATGAAAATTGAACTTTGAAACCCAAGAATGGAATAGACTGTTCCAGAAAGCATGTGATCGAATTGAATGGGAACATTTTTTTTAGAAAAAGTATCTAAAGACGCATGTTCTGGAAGTTTTTTCGGGAAAGCATCAATTGGGTTCTCTCTAAATGGGGAATTGAGGATCCCTAGAACATTGTACCCCAACGACCTCAAAGTTTTTTTCCCCTTCAAATACATACAAACACATGTTTCAGATTTATAGTAAAAGTTAGAGCATTCAAGCATTGCGACATCTATCCCACAAGTTGGAATTATTATTTTCTGATTATTTAAACAATCTGGGCTAATTTCGAAGTACCGTAAAACCTGTAATTGAAGGGCTCAAACATTGTCAAGTTTGAGCTCAATTATCTCAGCTTCTTCAAGAGATATAAAAATTGTACCAACCGATGAAAGTTTTAAAATATTATGATAAATAATTTATCAGTTGACAATTTTTTCATATCTCTAACAGGAACCGAGATAAATTGGCTGAAAGTTGAAAGAAAGGGGCTCTTCTATAACATTACGGTATTTCAGTAGAGCAATAACAAGATTAATCCCTTGTTTCATACCAAATAATATTCTCATAAATTTTCCTACTTTTCTTCCGGTAGGTTTCCGAGCTTGCTTAAAATTTCTCGAAAAATTCATTTTCGTATATGAACATCTTTGATGTCACTGAGTTATACTCTCAACTCGTATTACGTAGGCAAAGTTCAGGTCTGAAATCAAAACGGCAAGATCATCGACCGTCTGTTTTACTGTCCTGCTGATAACTGAAACTACCTCCGTTATTCTTTCCGGTTGTGACATCTAGTAAACGGAAAAAATCTGTAAAATTTAATTATTAGTAACCACGATTATTTTTCATTTTCTTGGGAAAGTTATTTGGAAACTTACCACAGTGTTGTTTCATACCGAGACAATGCAAAGCTGAAACGTTTCACAGTCAGACATTTTTTTTTTCAATTTCAACAGTGGTTATCAATTCCAGAGCGTCGATTTTCGGAAAACTATCAGAACGGAAAAAAGTACACCAAAAATGTTTACAGTTTCCTTCTCCGGTTTTTCCAAATTTATGTTTTTTATTATTTTTGTTAACCTGGTAAGTACAGAAGATAACAGAAAATCAGCAAAAAAATTCAATCTGAAATTTATTGGTTTAAAACAATAGTTTCTGCAAAACATCCTCGCTACAGACTTGTTGCAAATTTTCCCGGAGCCGGACATTTAGGAAATGGATGCTGAGAATTTTCCAATTTTTCAGATTTCAGATCATAATTTGGAAATAAAAAAAATATAAGGAAAATTGTCTGAAGTAAACACAAAAACAACGCTGCACAGTTGAAATAACAGTAGCAAGTAACATTGTCCAGGACCCAACATGTTAAACCAACGAAATCAATACACTTTTCTTGCAAAATTTGCAGTCACTCATACTCCCAGATGTCATCGTTATTTTTCATTTAAAAAAGTATAATTTTATAACTTTCCCAGATGTTAATCATAAGTGTGATTCATTGACAGCAAATCCGAATAGTGTAAAAGAAGCGACGGCTCTAAAAACGAGTGCAGATGTTTTATGACTTCTTAGAGAGCGTCATGTGTAACACTGATTTGAGTCACGTATAACGTTTCATTGAGGATTCTCATATTTCGTCAGCGAATTGTCTTAACTTCATAGATTTTTTGAGTATTACTTGTGAATTTTTTGTTTCGTTGAGTTTTTTAAAAATTTTTTCTTGAATTTTTCTTTTGATTTTTTATCATTCTTCTCGGGTTTCCCCAAATGTACTAGATCATCCTTTTAGTTGCCAACTGATAGTAGAGCAGTGACGTACTGAGCCCATCCAATTGAACTTTTGATTGATAGTGCATGTGCTGATTTTGACCTGTTATAGCAACAGAAAAAAGTTTCCCTTCAATCATAAAACCCGGAAATAGTAGATCACTTGGTAGGTAAACGAAGTCATATTGCCCAAACTATGTTGTCAAATGAAGTGGAAAGAAATCAAACTGTTTTCCTCAAACTCGTTTTGACTTTCATTTCTGCGCAAGGAAAAAGATTTTCAATGGGACGTGACTTTTGATTTGCCACCCGATTTACCTACCTGAATTGAGTTGCGGTCGTGGTTAAATTCGGAGAAGACGAAAGAGATGAAAGAAGAATGTGATGATGAATCAGGTTGAAAATTGAAAAAATGATGATGAATCAGGTTGAAAATTGAGAAATGATGGGGGAAAACTCACTGGATTTAATTTGTGATACGGTGAAAGATAAGTGAAAGGAAAGAGAAAAATAATAATAATCCGAAACGAAAAGTTTTCGGAATTCTGGAAACAGGAAGTTTTCGGGCCGAAAATTTTTCATTGAAATTTTTTTTTGGTCGGTTGCAGTGTACGGGCAATTTCGTAAAACACATAGCTTAGGAAAATCTGAAATTCTGTATTTCAAAAGAAATGTTTCAACATCGAGTTCCAGCCAAACTTCGGAAACCGTTTTTACAGTTTTTTTAGTTAAATTTTCAGAAAAAAGTTTTGGTTTTCTTTCTCTTGCCTAAGACCAAAAAAATTAGAAAGATAATATTATTTTTGCAAAGATTGAAATCAGAAAAAAAAAATCAAAGTAAAATAGACTAGCTAAAGTCTGCTGATAGGGAAACTCGAAATACAGAAACTTGAGAAAATATTTCGAAAGCTTCATGGAGTTTATTTAACGGTTGTATAACTCCATATAAACTCTCAAATGTTTCAGAAATTGCTAGCAAATTTTTCGTAAAATTTCTAACATTTCGAGTGATTATCATTTTTTCAAAATTCCAATTTTCCCATTGATACTGTGAACACACTATCATTATCCCATCCCCCTAACATTCACGTTTGAGCCAATTCATCTCGTTTCTTGTGAACTATATCAAAAAGTAGCCAACTAATAAAATAATCTTTGTATTATAATAAAAATTTTGTCAGTTATCCACTTTTCGATATCGTTCTAATGAACCTAGAAGCATAATCTCAAAATTGAAATTCAGAGGGCCATTCCGATGGAGTGATTACGGTAACTTGTTGTGAAATATTTTTCTAGTATTTTCAGTAGGTCTTTTATATTTGTACAGCGATTTTTCACAAGTTGGTTTTACCAATTTTTTTTACAAAACTTGAAAATGAGAATAATTGGTTATATAAACGACAAAGGGATAATTGAAAAATAGATAGTTTCTATTCAAAACCTGTTCATGATTCATCACAGAGAGAGGAAAATATATCAAATATATTCCTAATCGTATCTATTATATATATATATATATATATATATATATATATATATATATTCATTCTCGCTAGTTTGATTTAAAAGTTTGAACTATTCTTATCGTTAGTCAAAAAATTAGGGCCCTACCCGGTGATCCCGGTGTGTTCACATTTGCAAAAGTTTTTAAAATTCTGAACTTTTTAGAAATGTTGTGAAAAACCAGAACCGCGCTTAAAAATTCTAAAAAAAGTCAGGACCCGAGAGGTTTCAAGTATGCTTTTTCCTTTACAAACGTTTCAGCCCCTATTTTGCCCCCAGTTCAAAAGTTTTCAAATGTCCAACATCCTAAAATTAAACAAAGCAACGTTCATAAAGTTTTTCGTCCACTTATGCCCTTTTTCTCCTAAAAGGATAGCAAACAGCACATTTTCTCTCCTTTTCTGACTCATTTCCTGGGGGACACTCGACCTGTCAGTTATCAAAAACCCCGCCAAGGGTCTGAATAAAACCTCCACAGTCAGCGACATTTCTTCTACCACTCCCCATATATTTTTTTGCGACAATTTTTCGAATGTCATGTGTTGTTTACTCCTCAGCGCCGTTGGAAGAAAAAGTAAAGGATTGTTTCATTTGGCGCCTGTGTTTCTTACCGTACTTTTGTTTTGTTATATGCGTAGTCAAAGCGTTGAAGCTTGGTGACTAATGTCCAAGGAAACTTTTGGAGGCTGTACAATGGGGCTAGTGTCCCGATCATGTTTCCTGTTGATTCATCTGCAATTACATTTTTGCTTTGTCATTTTTGACAAGTTTTTCATCTCGAAATTTTCACTTTCTGTCTGTCTATTACTATCAGTTAGTTGATGATTGAGATCTTCCACGTGCAGACATCTTCTTTTTCACTTTTTCATATTTTTTATCTTCTCTTTCTTCTCTCTTTTGCCTTCTTGTTTTTAGTTTTCAGATATCAAATTCTGATAAACATATTTCAGATGCCAATCATCACCACAACCACCCGTACCACGCGCACCTATCACACTACCGCCGGTGGATCTTCAGCGTAAGTATCAACAATTGCGAAACAGTGCAAAAGGGAAAGACCAACATGTTTAGAGGTTAGGGGGGATGACAAGGGCGCCCGCGCTTTATTTTGAAAAACCAGTTAAAATTCATGGGTGGGGTGGCATGTCGTGAGAGTAAAGAGGAAAAAAAGGGGCCGTATTCATCTGATGTGAAAAGAAGACGGGCCATCTGCGCTTAGGGTCACATGTGATGGAAGTAAAATCTCAAACACCAACGGTTACTTTATTCGAGTGACTCAGAGGGTACCAAGATTTCAAAATGAGAAGACGAACAATTTAAAGGAACACACGCACAACAAAATGACACGAACTATGGGTCAGTGAACAAGTAGGTACTTGGATCGACATGAATTTGCATGGCCACTCGAACAAGTTAATGTAAACACTGTGTTTTTGTTTGGGAGAGAGAGAGACACTGTATTCACGTCATCTGTTTTTTGAAAATCCCTGAATTTAGTTCTACCACCTAATTTTCAAAAATTTGTCATGGCCCAGACATGACGAAATTTCTCGTCACTAATACAGCAAAATTGAACGAGGATCAGAGAATATGATCAGGCTTAATCTGAAACCAACGAATTTCTATGCGCCCAAGATCAACATCCATTTGAATTTAGAACGAGAAAAAAAACAATAACATAACAAAAACAATACGAGGCCATGATCATTGGTCGCTTGGAGGAAAAGCGATGAGAAGGGAAATGATTGTACAAATAAACAATATTCCTGACATTTTGAACCTCAAAAATCAATGTGTTTGCTTAGTGGGGCCGTATAAATACTATGAAAAAAATTCCAGTCGGTAGGATTTCAGTAGTCAGTTTTTTCAAGACCGGGATTCGTCCAAGGTTTTGAAATATTTTTTTCTTTTTAACGTTTGAAGATTTATTCTCGTCTGAAAATTTTGAGAACCTTTTTTTCAACATTTTTACAAACTCGAGACCATCTGAAACGGAATCTCAGTTTTTTTCATTGCGGATTCATTGAAAACACCGTAAACATTCCAATAGAAGGTCACTGCCACTTTGAGCTCCGTTATTTCAACTTAAATAAGAGGTAACAAAAATCTGACAACTGATAAAATGTTTTTCATGATATCACCGACATATCAGTTGGAAGATTTTTGTTATCTTTTTTAGAAATTGAGATAATTTAGCTCAAAGTGTGAAGCCTATTTATCACAGTGTTTACGGTATTTCACACAAATTTTGGATTTTTTGTGACTTTCAAAATTTTAAAAATTGTTGGCTCAATCTATTTTTCAATTTCAAAAAAATCATCCATTCAAAACTTCAGTATCCATATCGAACTAGTTATTTTCTCTCCCTCGCAATACTTTCAATAGGACAGAATGTTCATATAAATTTTTTTATTATTATTAAAATCGCATTTCCCCACTGATCCTACTGTAGAACCCTCTATTGTTGTCAACAGCTATTGATGCCTATCTGATCCGTTAGCTATTTACAACGCAAAAAATCTAGAAAATAATTTTTTTCCACAAATAGCCGAGCTCAATCATCTCCAAAAGTACATTTACCCCAGTACTTTATGAATGTCGCTTTTCCGAGTGGTCTCCCGTTTTCTCAGAGCAATTATTTATTTTTTCTTCGGAGACCCAACTCTAGAAACCACCGCATAATATTGCTGTATGTTTTACAATGTGTTTTTTTTTCTAGATTTTCTATTTTCCCATGGAAATTCTGTTTTCCATACAAGAGATTTTATTGCCTTTTGTACTGGGCATAATGAGGGGTCATTAAGTCGTCATGTTGAAAGTCTGGAAAAAAAGACATCGAAAACCTTGAAAATTCCTCTTTCAAATGTTGTTTTCTTTGTCGAAATCCTAGGTTTAGAAATGAGTAGATGAGCAAGCAACCATGTGGTTCTGGCAGATCTTCTCCTCTTACACTTCTCTCCGGATGAATTTATTGTTCTTTTTTTCTACTCCTTCTGATCGTTATTCCTCGTTCCACTCTCTTTGATTCTTCTGATCTTTTTCAAGTTTACGGATTGAAAATGTGTGCGGGAGTGTAAGTGAGTCACAGACGGGAAAGAGAAAGAGAGAGAGAGAGTGTGTGTGTTGAAAAAACAAGTAGAAGAGGCGGGATCCCGTGTGGAAGAGAACAACAACAACAAGACATCACAACGGCCCCCCGAAGGTCGTTATATTTGGGAGGAGGGGAGGGAAAGTGGGCGGGAAGCCAAGCCTCCCAACCGGAGGACTCAAAAACCGCAGGCCCGGCGCCCCAATCCGTTTCATTTTCGAAAACTGTCGGTGTAGCAAACCACCGGTCAGCTCCTTCTCTTCTAAGGATCTTCTAAGAGGGAGTGGAGGTCCTATATTCTCTGGTACAGGTATTCTTAAGTTTGAAAGGGAACTTCCTGACATTGTAAGATTCCAAAAATAATTCCAATAACTAAGGTATTCTTAACTTTCAAGAGAATATCCACCTCATTGGACTGATAATAATGAAAAAATAGGGTTCCAATTTTTAGTACTCATTCTCAAATTCCAGACATGCGATCCAAAAACTTATGTTCAGTTTAGAAGTAGTAGTAAGAGAACCATTACCATAGCTATTTAAGACATCGAACTTCAGAAACCATCTATTCTGGAATTCATGTTTTTTTCTTCCGACTCATTTGAGTATCTTATTTTCTTCTCTCACCACCAAATGCTTCAATGAGCGTGCCTAAGACCTCAAAGACGACAGTAATTTGGTTATTTTGAGACATCTGGAGCTGCAAATGGTTTTCCCTTCTCCCCATTCTAATAGTATGCATATCTAAACAACAACAACAAGAGAGACAATTTCAAAATAACACGCCAATCATCCGCCCCATGACTCGGGGCGGCGTCTCAGAGGGCACCGAAGACCAATTGTTTACTACGTCCTTTTTCTCCTAGATATCTTGGTAGGATATCTTTATCTCGGTCGGGTGAGGCGCTCCCATCTCCGCCTGCCAATTGCATGACATCTGACAACTCTGCTTTTTTTATTTTGTTGTCATCCGGCATTTCTAGGATGCCTACCTCTCTCTCTCTCTTGAGTCTTGGTCTTTCTTCTATTTCAATACCAGGTTCCCTTTCAAAATCTTTTCGTTTTTCAGAATGGGCGAGATTTCATTGAACACCCGCTACCTTTCCACCAACCGCGGAATCATCAAGATTCTCCAAATCGTCGTCGGATTCATCATCTGCTCGCTTCTCTGTTCCCAATGGTACGGAGGACGTTCCTGCTTCGGAGAAGGCCGTCTCGGATTCTCGTCTGGACTTAACTTTGTCTGTGTCATTGTTAACATTGTGCTCTTTGTCTTGAACTTCCTCAACATTCGTGCCTGGGGATTGGTGAGTTTTAAATGAGCCAAAACCTATTCTTAAAGTTTTAATTTCTAGGAGAGAATCTACACCGTCGTCTGCACCATCCTCTTCCTTATCGCCTCGATCCTCATCGTCTGGTTCTTGATCGAAGTCAACTCGTCCCGTGGATGGCTCATCGCCAGTGCTGCTCTCATCGTCGTCCAGTTCTTCTTGTTCTTGTGGGATCTCAAGATTCTCCAGGGAGAATCCCCGAACTAAATCACTCACACTAATTTCCTGCCCTCTGCCAAACCGAACTTTGCTTATTCTTTTCTTTTTGAATTGTATTACTGTACCCCTTCCTAAAAATCACGAGAACTATATAATCATTCGCATTTTGCATAATTGTCAATACAACCTTCCCAAATATTCCCTGCATATACCTCTCGTTGTAATTTTCCCATTGTAATTTTTGCTGCAAAAAAAAGTTCGATTCAATAAATCTGTAAAAAAGTAAAAAGTACTGCAAAGTATCATTGATCAAATAGAGACTAGTCGAAAACAAAAACAGATGGTATTGTTCGCTTTGGAACGAATAGAAACAAATAAAAGATCGGAGATCATCATCAAATTTTGTTTTCCAATGTTTTTCAATTTCCCCTGCCCGCTGTAAAAAGTCACGTGGATTCTTCCAAGGTCTCTTCAGACAAACAACACTCCGTCCCTCACTCTCTCAACACCCCCTCTCCGACGCAAGGAGACACTGGACGAATCGCCGAGACGCAGCGTATTCATCGATTTTCTCTAGCCCGCAAGGATTGTCTCGTGTTGTGACAACGAAGCATGTGAGTGGAGGACCCTCCGCAACTTGCGCACTATTTCCACGAGTACCCTCTCCACTTTCTGTTGTTTCTCTCGTTCGAAACTTGCCACTTACACGGACGGCAAGAAGAAAAACGTATCGTTTTCGTTCGTTGCGATTGATAATTTCATTGGATGTTCAAAATGAGTGGTGCCGGATGGAATTCTATGCCGATGGAGCTGCTCGAGCAGATTTTCGACCGGATTCCACCGAAGAATAAAGGCAGATGCTCTCAGGTTAGTTATTTTATGGTATTTCATCGATTTTTCACTAATTTTCAAAGCGTTTTCTGAGAAATCGTTTACGAATCTTCGAACTAATCAAATAGCCCATGTTTCCATTCGAAATGCATTCTAAATTACAGGTTTGCCGCCAATGGAACGGTGCATTCAAATCACCACGCTCCTGGCGTTCATTCACCTTCAAAGACGGCGTCTTCGTTCGCCGAAAGTACACTCAACATTCTGGCTGGCAGTATCATATTGATCATTTGCGCTTGAGGTAAGTCTGATTTCTGGTGTTCTTGATTTTTGAAGGTAGAAGAAGAAACAGCTACGGTCAACAGTGACATGCATTTTGTTATGATGTTTTTGCTGTTTGGTCCTTTAGAGAAGAATGAAAGGGTGTGAATTGAGAAAACAAGAGTCCGACTAACAATTTTGCGAATTCCAGATTTAAAATAGTATCAAAAAATTAAAAATTATCGATCAACTAGGGTTCATTTCCAGCAGTCTGATCACAAAAACCACCGAGCAATGGAGAACCTTCACCGTCGAGCCGGTCACCAATCTGTTCAACCTCTACGAATTCTTCAGAATTCTTGCGAATTACTGCCAACACTACGAGAAGTGAGTCCTTCTTATAACTGGAGGACGTAAGGGAGCCCATTTCAGATTCACCAAAAACATCCGTCCACTCGGAAAGGTCCAAACCTTCAACTTCAAATGGCACCTTCACGTCGGCGATGCCGAGACCGGTGGATTCATCGCAGACAAGGACGTCGGAACTGGAGGACAGATGCTGATCAGTCTGAAAAATGTGATTCAGTATCTTCATGGGCTCAAGTCGTTAACATTGGAGGATCTTCAGCTCACTCCACAAGAGGCCACAGATTTCCTGTTGACTGTTAGTAGTACTGGGGGTGGTGGTAGTGCAATGTTAAGGATGGAATCTAGTACAAGGAATAGTGTGATCCCAGGAAGATAAAGAGAAGGAGAAGTCGAGGTTCTAGAATCTTAACTTAACCGGAATCTACTCCAGGGACTCACAGCTCCACTAGATTATATTAAAACAATTGGACATGACATATCACATCTCTTTGGATCTCTAGATCTTTTTAGAAACATCTAGAAATAGTGTTACTCGTCTATTCAACCCAGAAAATGTAACAAGTGACATAAATCAATGGAGAATAAGCTGTCTGGACAGTGAGAACCTGCTGATCGTCTGATAATTTGTTCACGAGTGTATCTGCCTACCACACTGGACTGCGGCCTCCAAGAAATGAATCCAATTATTCCGAAATCGAGATTTCGAAAAACGATCTCGGCTATTTAGGCTTGTCCGGAGCTCATCAGTTTCAGCAGGCTCTCACTGCATTTGCTTACGGAGATTCTGGTTTGTAGAATTTTCATGTTTTTCATTCCATAACCTGAATACATTCTTTCAAAATAGCAAACTTCTCTGGGATCACACTCTTCTGTTTTCTGAGTACACTGTCTTTTTTTTTCCAAAAAAAATGTGTGTTCTTTTTCCAGCTTCTGGAAAAGTTCCAAGAGAAGTTGACCTACTTGAGTCTGCTAAACGCAACGCTCATTCCTGAGCCACTACTCCAGGTCGGATGTTTTCTGAAGCTCAAAACGTTGTTGGTGTCGCCGCAGATGCTGTGCGCCGACACGCTCTCAGCGATCGCTTGCCTCGAGCAGCTGGAGAACTTCTCCATTGTTCAGGTATGAGTCGCTAAATGTTTTTTGAATTTCCCTCTCTACTCTCAATTCTGGCTACCTGTCTTATCTTGATCTATTTCAGGATGAGAAAAGTAGTCAGTCGCCGGATATATGCCGCGACGCGTGGAACATGTTTATCAGGCAGAACATGGGCCGAACACGTGTCTGGCTTATCCTACGAGGTTAGCATTTTTGCAAAAAAAAATATTTTGAAAAAGTTATGAAGGGATTCGAGAACAGTTATTTTGGCTTAACCGAAACACCTGTATTTCTGGAAGTGTGGTTTTTGGAAGTAGAAGCGTTTTCAGATTTTGAGTGCCGATCTTAGTATTTGGTTTTTAAGAATGCATGAACAAGAACAAAAAACCATTTATAATCAAAACAAGAACCGATTTCAGGTTTTCAGAAAAAAAAACATTTCTGTTATGAAATCAGTGAAAATAAAGTCTGAAATGAAAATGTAGTGTAATAACTGTTTTGAAGGAAAGCCCCAAGAATCGCTGATCATTCAACCAGGTGCACCGGTATACGGTATTCGCATGGAGAACAGTGCTGGACAGCTCACGATGGAGCTTGCCGAACAGGTATTCATTGGAGTACTGTCACTGCGATACAAAAAATATTTCAGATTGCAAACTACTACTCCGAAACATTGCACGTCTTCGTTCAGACCGGATTGGAAAGAATGAAGAGAGGCAAGAAGATGGAGGAAAGAGTGGATTCAGCTCTCGTTGAGATTGTCAGCAGGTTGGTTTGAAGAAAAACTCTTGTGGTCATACTGGTGAATAGGTCGATTTCGGGCCGACACAGGCGAGCTCATAGGACTTTCAAGAAGAATCGAGCATCAAGTGAATTGCCGGGCACGGGCCGACATCTTATCGCAGTGTCTGCAAAAATCGTCGGTCCAGACTATTATTACTTTCCAAGCCGGTCGTATCTAGTTGGAGATTGTAAAGCTCTCCGAGCTCTATCAGTTTGTGCAGTTTTGTTCACAGTTTCAATTTTAAAACAAATTGAATATCGGTACGGAATCAGCCCGTCTACGAGGATACTTCTGTCTAAGCTAGTATCTTGCTGGTCCACTCAGTTGGCTTTAAATGACTAGAAGTAGCTTGGCTTTTTTAAATGGATAATTGCGGCCGGGTTGGATCAATTATGAATCGAGTCAGATTGGATGAACTCAAGTATACTTAATTCGGGATCCGATTTTTTTGAACTCGGCTTCTAATTGATTCAACTAGTCAAACTGAGGTTTAGTCGGTTCGGTGTCATCTAGATCGAGTCAAGCTGGCTCCGGCAGCCTTACTTTGCCATTTAACTCCATTCAGGTGCTCAACACTTGCCTTGGGCCAATCAGTCCGTTCTTTCGCTTTGTGATCTAGATGCCGAAAATTACGCTTGGCTGCATTCTCAATTCATTTAGTATCAGATCCCTTTAGACACACTAAACCTTAGCTCTGTCGTAACTCGAATCTAGTTTGCTCGATACCACTTGCGTCAACAGGGATAAATTTTATATCATAAGCAGACGGGATATTCCATTTCGACTTTGTATGTATATTTCGCTTTTATTCTTATCGGTTTGGAGCTCATTAGTTACCAGGTTTTATCTGGATTTTAACTTGAGAAGTCAGTCGACTGAATAACAATCTGAGAAGAGAACAAATTTTTAGCGTTTAGTGAATTTAAGTTAGCGTTTAGTGAATTTAACCAGACGGTTCTCTTTATTGAAGATCCCCCACTTCTTACAAAATTCAAAAGATGCAGATTAAGATGCTAAGTTTTATCAGCTAGACGACAATATCCGTAGGTGGATCAGTAAACAGCCGATCATCCACACCATGACATGTTGATCTGTTTTCTTCTCTAAACTTTGTTTATGTTTCTCCCTATTTGGTGCCACCTCGAATGAATGGAATAAATCCGAAGCAAATGACTTAGTTTTTCATCATACGATCCGATTTATTCCTCCTAAATTCTCAACGTTGATAGACGCGGAAATAAAGAAATGCATACGTCGTCAACGGATTGATTTTGAATTTGAAATACGAATTATGATTTCTCAGCGAGAATCAACTGATCTTTATTCCAGATGCTCATTGTTGAACCGTGTGGCCTGTCGGGAGAGATTGTCCTACGGAACCGCCGTTATCTTGTCGGTGTATGCAGCCAGAAATGGATTCGAGCTGTTTCTCAGAAAAAATGCATTGTTGAAAAGAGTGAGTGGGATGCGAAAAGCAAGAAGATTCTGTACTCTACAAATTTCAGCTCTGTTGGTGCCGCCTCGACATGGAGACTCACGGCATTCTTTTCAATTGGCTCAGAAACATGGCTCGTACCGAGGAGATTCTCCTGGAGACCATCCGCCTCCACACCAACATGAGCATCTCAGTTTTCGATGACAAAACTTACAGAGTCCTCAAATTGTAATTAATATGTTATTGGAAATTCATTCTTAAAGCTAACTTGTACAGAACCCCTGAAACCCCTGATCCTCTTCTCACCATCCAAAAACTTGTAGTGATTTAGAAAACTTGTCTCATTCCTTCCACTATAGTTGTATATTTTGAAACGTAGACTACAAATCGTGTTCTTACAAAAATCCTAATATGTGTACAAAATAACAATCCCTGGTTTAAAAAAAAAACTTTAATTAAGTTTCTTCATTTTGTAGTTATCCGAATATTTCAAACTTTTGTAAAAGCACTCTTCTCATCCATTTCTCTTCTTGAAAAAAAAACAATTTTGTACGAATACCGTACCCCATTGCATAGATTGCACATTGTAGTTTTTCCCCGCCAAATCTTGACCTGTCGAACCTCTGAATACCCCCGTTCAGCTTTTCCCCATCCTGTTCCTTGAATACTTGTAAATTCTCAATTTTTCACAAAAATATGCCTTTTTTCACGCCCCTGACTCATTTGGTGCCTTTTACCGTCTCGATTTTCTGCTATTTTTCAGTGACAAAACAGCCGTATTCAGAAATGTACATAAATAAACCTAAAATAAAAATTGAAAATAACGAAAAATAATTTTTCAGACGTTTTGTTTTTAAGAGGTGCCCCTCTTCTCAATCTTTGTTTTGATGAAGAAAATTTTTCAGAGTAAAAAACAAATCTGATTTTTTTGTGACGCAAATTATAGTAACCTTTTGAAATTCGTAGTGGGAGTAGAAATCACCTGACACCTACTTGTCGCAAGCCTTAAAATTTTAGTTTGTACAGTAGACCGAATTTATTTAATTGAAACAAATTTTCCGTGTTTGACGTAGAGCATAAGTAAGAAAAAGCACTTCAGGCAGGTGATTAATAGCGATCTGTGTGTTTTCGAAAGTGGTTTTTTCAGCGACAGTGTCTAAATCGGATACAATTGTTATTTTCTTTTTACCACTAATTTTCTGACCAAGAACAAAAAAGAAACGTTTTTTTCAAGGAAGTGATTCAGAGACTGATGATGGTACCTCCATATGATTCAGACTTTCCGCAAACAACTACAAATTTGAATACATTTTTCGTGTGAGATCTTACGGCTGGAGGCTACTCAAGATGAATGCTTGAAATAATTGAGTTTAAAATTAAGTTTTTTTTGAAGATTTGAGCGGAGTTGTTAAAATTGTCCAAAGTTTTTTTTTCTTTTTATAAGTGGATACTTTGAAAGAATTGATTGCTAAAAGAGTTCACGAAATGTAGATGTTGTGTCTTTTGGGTTCGAAATATTGTAGCCGGCGATAAGTACAAAAGACGGTAAGTTGTTCTTAACAGAGGTTTTTGAACTGTTCTAAACTTTTATTGATGTTTTCTGTTATAAGTCTAAGCTGATAATTCACTTGAAAGGTTGAAAATCTGTCTGGAAACTCCTATTAGGTTGGAAGGAAAGTAACAGTCCCTTGTTTTATCTGCAAATAATACAAAAACCAGATGGAACCAAGATAAGCAGTATGCACCGTCGTGGTCCACAGCATGTTGCCAACATCCAAGTAACTTGTGGATAGCATACCTCCAAAAGCTAGCTGGCCGTGACTCAAAGTATTTTTTCAGTCCAGATTTAACCTCATCTACAGTGCTCAAAGACTCAAAGTGTTCTTTTTTTCCAGTTCTTTCTCATAAATAGTGAAAAATTCATCACCCTCCAGGCTTTGTATATCGCTGAAAAACTAAGATTCTGATAGAGCCAAGTCGGGACTATAAGTAGATGAGGGAGAAGCGTCTCGCTGAAGCGGCTCAGGTCTGACTTGACTGTCGTTAAAAAATGAAAAAAACCGCATGTTCACGAAAAGTCACGTCGTACCTGAGCCGCTTTCCTGAACGGTTCTTCTTTACCCACGTGAAAGTTCTGATTTTTTCTATCAGATTATTGGTTACTTGGAAATATACAATTCCATCTGAAGCATAAGGACTTTGACAAAATCGTTGAGAAGAAAATGTACCAAAGTAATATTTTGATTTGCAGCCAGCTAGCGTTTGAAGGGATGGTATCCACAAGTTACCAAAATGTAGACAACACGTTGTGGACCGCGACAATACATATTGTCAATCGTGGATTAATCTTGTTTTTTTTATTTACTAATTAAAAAATGGACAGTTACTTTCCTTCCAACCAAGTAGTTCAAACTGCATTTTAATAAAATTTGACATGCACAAACCACAGTTCAATTGTCTGGAAAGAACAACATCTCCAAGTATTGAATCATCGGAAAACCCCTCAGAGCTTCCTCATCATAGACTTTTGCAAGATATACTGCCCGACTCATGCTTTTTGCTCATTCAGAGACATCAAAAGACTAAAAAACGCCAATTGAACTCAGTTTCTATATTTTCGGCATAGTATTATCAAAGTCCACTTATAATAAAATAATCTCGGGAGGAAGGAAATTTTCGGCACGGCCACCACCTACTCAATTCCTAATCTGGAATTACTGAATTATACGTGTACCGCAATACTATGAACTTTGTTTTTAATATTATTTACTTAATTTAGCATTAGTTTCTTTGTATAAGGAGACTCCTGGAACCACAGGAAGATTATCTTTGCAGATCGAACAATGACGATGTTTATCATTAGAACGTACTCCCCACGTATCATAGTTTTCGGGAGTGATGATCATTGAGCAGGAGCATTTCTCAATCTGGTGGTTTTTGCTCCAGCAAAAATCCTTCCAATGCATGGCTGTCGAGAAGACTAATTGCTCTTGCATCCCAAACAAACAATAGAAAATCGTGAGGCAAAGAAAGGAACGAAACAACGTTAGAAGTTTGAGGAAGTGACATAATTGTGGAAGAAAAAAACAGCTATACAACTTCCGATGCTGAAAGAAAATTTGTCTGGACACTAGTAATGATACTAGCCAATGAGTAGGAACACTAAAGACGGAAAACAAACATTTTTACAATGAAAACTCTACAAGAGTGTTTCCAAACCACCAACTTTAAGCTCACGTATCTCGTTTCCTGTAAAAGATGGCAAAAAGAGTTCAATTAACGGAATGTGTATGATAACATGAAAAGTATTCTGCCAGTTGACTACTTTCTGATATCACTTACAGGAACCAAGATAAATTCTCTAAAAGCTAAATGCTATTGGGTTCCTTTAATTGGAGTGTTTACGGTATTTATGAGTAAGCAATTACCGTAAAACCTGTATTAGAAGAGCGCCCTAGCCTTTAACTTTGAGCTGATTTTTATCGTTCCCTGTAGAAGATACAAAAAGTTGTCAACTGATAAATTGTTTATCATGATATCAGACGTTGTCTGTTCGTCGAACATATTTTTATATCTTGCATAGGAAACAAGATACCGTAAAATCTGTATTAATATTGCATGCAAGTCTATTGTGCAAGTCACCTCAAGGGGTGCAACTCTATTAGTGGGGCAATTCAAATAGAGGCTGCAATTCTATTTTTCAAACTACAAATTGAGGTTAAAGTTTTGAAAAAACAACATTTTATTATGAAAATAAACAAAAAAAGTAACAAATTGAACAAAAAGAAAAGAAAAGTATCGCATATTTTAAAAAATCAAAAAATCGAGGCATCACTGTCATAGTTATTGTCTTCTTCTTCGGCATGGTTCACTTCTCTATCGTCTTCCTCAATTTCAATATCTCCAAGAATCACCTGAATTTCTTCCATTTCTCGCTCAAGAAAAATAAAAATAAACCAGAAATTAGGTGGGTAGTTTAAAAAAAAAAGAAATTCGAAAAACAACTGTGCAATAGTTCGCCACGGTGTCACAGACTAAAAATTGTACAGTGCTCCCGGCGGAGACGCAATACTGCTGCAGATGCAATTGTATTACGGGGGCAATTCAATTAAAGGCTGCAAGTCTATTTTTCAAGTGCCCTCAAGGGGTGCAAGTCTATTAGAGGGGCAATTCAAATAGAGGCGCAATATTAATACAGATTTTACGGTAATTGAGCTTAATGTTGACAGTGCTCTTCTATCACTGGTTTACGGTAATTAATTTTTGTCACGTTTCTTAAGAAGTTGTACAGTTTGAAACAGTGCGACTCTCAAGTTTGTTTATTAAAAGTTTTAATTTTGTTTATTTCATAGAACTCCGGTCTAAATAAGTGTAGGAAGTATGACTTATTACCCTATATAGAATATTTTACTACTTTTTTCATGGATGACTGCTCCCAGTTTATTGTGCAAAGTGGCAGTGACGTCTGGTCTAGTTTTGCAAAAAGGAATTTTGTAAAATTCTTCAAAAATTGCAGATCTGATTTTTCGTGATTTTCTAAACATTATCTTATTTTGTGAAAACCGAGGTATCCTTAATGGTATTTGAAATTTATGGTCTAATTTTTATTTTTTCATTCTCTTTTCTTTTGGATGATTCATTATCACTCGTACCAAAACATCATCAGAAAGTCACTAAGCATAAAATCATTTTTCCTCTTCTTATCTCCAACGTTATTGCTGCCCCCCGAAATCCAGATCATCCGAAGCCTCGCCCCCTTTTTCTTTCCGCACGTCTATAAAGGGCGGTGCTTTGCATCCAGTCTCTTCATTCCGTTTCGGCTTCAGCTCTCGCCGCTCCACGCGTTCAGTTTTTGCCACTGAGCGCCGCCCCTTTTTTCCGAGCTGCTTTTCATTTGCAATTAGCTGTGGTGGCTTGCAAACTCACCGTTCAGAATGTCGCTCCAATTGTTGGCTATCATGGTTCTTCTCGTTGCTCCAGTTACTTCAAATATTCTCATGCCTCACAGTTTCTTTGCTACGAGATCTGATATTATGTTGGAAGATCCATCCGGGCAGGCTGAGAATGTCGATGCTTCTCCAATCAAAATCAATTCTGGCTCCAACGAAGATATTGGCAGTGATAAAAGTGATAGCAACTTTCAAACGTAAGTAAAACTCTTTGGAATAAATTTATCTGCTTATGAATAGCGGAGCTACTAAATCACACCCTGTAAAACCAATTATTCAAATTTTCAATTTCCAGGGAGCACGCCCGTAACTGTTTCTTCACTCCGGTCCAATGTTTGCTCCCACTGACTGATTCTCACAAAGACGTCCAATCCCTCCATGGTGTCTATTCCCCGACTGCCACCCACGTTCGCCGAAGCGTCGATACCATGCTCACTTCTCCATGGGGATACACGGATCTTATCAAACGAGGTGGCGATAATCGATTCTATCAGTGGTTGAGCAGATTCTAAGTTTCATTTCTTTGTTTAACACTTTTTTCTGTGAATCTTCCAACCCCAGCAATAAATCAGTTAATGAGATCGATGTTTTTTGTATATTACCAAGTAAAACCTACGAGTTATCTTCTTATCAATAAAACTATAGAAATCCTATTATACTAAAAAGACATACGTGCATAAATCCAAAGACTCGAAAAATGTTTTAAGCCCAAAAACATACTTCGTTCTCAGGATTGTGGGAATTCTTTCTGCCACCAGCAGTCAGATACCATTCGAAAATAGCTCAATCTCCTACGCTTTTCCAGAAAAAAACTATGAGATAATCCTGCAAATCCTCTTAGATTTCCAGAAAAACGACCACGAAGTGACCGGTTCTTTTTGTTAATGAACGGAAATTCTGTCATTGATGTGAATTTTTGGAATTGGAGGATTTCATTTTTGGATAAAATTCAAAAAAATATTTGCTCGAGTACTTCAACATTTTTCCTTCACGTCCTTGAAACCGGGAACTCAAATGGTGATTCAGAGTGGACACATGCCTTCATTTTGTATTCTTCAAACATACCACGCATACCAAACAGTGGATATTTGAGGGATAATTGAATTTTGTATTCAGGAATTCTCAAGAAAAATATCCACTTTTTAAACTCGTCCCAGGAGGAAAAACTGACACTTGGCCTAAACAAAATACAAAATACAAAAGCGATATTGAAATTAGAATATTTTGGAAACAAATGCTTTGGAGACAGAACTGCGTCATTCCGGGACAGCCATCAAACTCAAAGAAGTTTTGTATATGATGTCATTTTCAGCAAAATACGGGAAGGATGACCCCCAGAAAATGCGATTCTGAAGATTATTTAAAACTTGGTGGGCCTCAACATGAATAATCCGTCTGAGCTTGAGATTAATGTCATGGAAGTAAACACATAATTTTTGTTCAAAAGAAAAGCAAGAAACGATTTTGTAGTCGATGTTTCAAAAAACATGGCCGGAAACTTGATTTTTCAAACAGATTTACTGCAATTGACTCGTTAAAAATGCCCTGCAGCATGTTTCCAATTTTCAGGTCGTTTTCGGAATATTTCCGATCGTTCTAGACTATTTTCAAAACTTTTTTGTACTACGGTATGTCAAAACCTAAAAATTATATTGATTATCCGAATTTCCAAAAACGTCGAAATTCCGAATTTCTACATTCCGAAAAATCCAAGAAGGCCATTTCAATATCCTTAATTTCCTTTCAAATGCTTGGGAATTTTCATAAAAATGAACTTACACGTAAAACTACAAATTTACTTTTGTAGTAATTCAGCGTCACGTTTTTAAAAAAATGTACTGCAGGCATCCAACATCAGGATAATTTTGCAAAAAAAAATATCTGGGTATTCCACTTTTTTTCTTTCTGTACCCAAAACTACAAACCAAAAATGACAATAGTGTCTAGAACAGAAGAAAAATGAACAATTTTAAGATTTTCAAGACAGGGATATTTGGAAAAAAATTTGGAATTCCAAAATTTCCAACAGGAATATTGGCGATTTTTTATGCGGAATCGGAGCTTTTCGGACTATGGATTGTCAAATGCGCTCGCGAAAAATCTTCTTGCGGGTCTCGATTCGTAAATTTAAGTTTTTTTCAAATCTGGTTTTCACCGGGCCGCCCAATTTGTTTAAGTGTTTTTATAATCATGTTAATCACTATGGATTTGCATTTTTGGCTTACAGTCTCTACTTACCAGCATCATTTTTTTATCAGCCATGTTGAATTTCTGATCATAATCCTTTTCAATCAGATAATCTTCAAAATTCAAGTTAAAAAAATTTCGAAATTTCATCCTCACTTACCAATGTGATCCTGATTACTACGGTTTATCGAAAAAGTGATAACATGTAAACAGAACATCATTACGTTACTAGCTTGTTGTTATTTAGACTGAAATCGCTTTCGCAGCTGGAATGAAAGGCTACAAAAAATGACGAGATTGTCTAACACTGTTTTTGAAAAAAACACAGGAAACCAATATGTTTTTGATGGAACAAAACAATTTCCGACGTTCCTTGTCTGATCCATGGATTTCGTTGATAATCTTACAAGGAGCTTTGAAAACTTTGTTTGCGTAACAACGGTTTTGGTTCACCCATGCTGGGAAAACATGTGTTGTAAAAATCTGTCATTTCCGTGTCTTACTTATGGTTTGCTTTCATCACTTCCTTTTTTTTTGATACAATTTCCCTACCGTGTCTGGCGGTTTGTTTATAGTTAGCAACAAATCATAATCCCCAAAAATTTTAAGCCAAGTACAAATTCATTATTCCGTCTGGAAGACCTCTTATTCATCGGTTCAATTCAAAAATGAGAAATTCGAAAATTCGTCATTTTCAACGATGACTATAAGATTATGGAGAAAAAAACTGGGACTTTGAAATGGAACACGCGGGATGACGACGAATTGAGTTTCATTTGTTATTGATGAGATGCTCGACGCCTTATAGCTTGAAACAGGACAAAAAACTGAACTGGGAGAAATTTGCAAGCGGCCACAAGGATTATTATATCATATTCTGGAAACGTATACATTCATGGGATGAAAACAGAGCGAGTTTTTTTTCCCACGCAAAAGGGTAAGAAACTTTTTTCTGGAATCAAAATAATAATTTCTAGTACCGATAACGCATGACTTTCGCGGGAATCAGGAAGCTATAATGAACTCGTGGACAATCCGTTTCAAATTTCCAGAAGCGGGGGAAGTGCAGGGATTTGAAAGCCAAATTTGATCCCATTGATGAGATGATAATTCATGCAACAAGCACTTATTGGACAACCTAGTCACATTTTAGGACTCTAGACTGATTTAATAGTTATCGGCTTTGGATGATGGTCTTGAGTTGCATCAAACTTCAAAGCAATTTTGTTAAAAGTATCACGTAAAACGTAAAACTTTTGGAATTTTGACTGTATTGAAAAATTTTTGTTGATGAACTAACAATAGCAATCCAATTGAATGCCGACCAAAAATTGCGTAGCCTAAATTTATAGGAACATGTACCACTTCTTTCCGTCTTTGCTACAATAGGATCCCACCCAATACGCACAATTCTTGCTTAATGATCTCCACTTCTACCATAGATATTCGAAAAATCTCAACTCATAAATCATCCTCATCACTAACATTTCGTCAGTTGCCAGATTTCTTATATCTCTTATACGGGCCGAGGTAATTGAGCAGATCAATTTGAGCTCAAAGTGTACATATAGGCCGGGCTACTATTAAAGCAGATACGGTAGGCTGAATTCAGAAAAACAGTTTTCGTACGACCCAATTTTGTCAAAATATTGTTTTCAATTTCAAGCTCTGATTTCTTCTGAGTCTTTTTTTTTCAAACTTCGTTTTACAAAATTATACTGTTCGAGGCTCATTTTTCATTATTAACTGTAGTGAAATATCCAAGGTAAAATATATTCAAACATGTTTATTTCAGTTCATAAATCTAGTCAAATGCATCAGAAGAACTCGTTTCAAATACAATAAAAACCAGTAAACATTTAAAACAACAATAAAATTTAATGACCTATTTCCTGGAGCCGAAAAAAGCAGGCCGGTTGCTGGTGATCAATAGCTTTGAGTAGATTGTGTCCAACGAAGTTTCTTCGAACACTCGTAGAACGGGTTGAAGGTTTGAGCTTTTTGGGAAGTTTCCAAGCAGGCACTGGGCAGGAGAAAAGAAACAGTTTCTTTCGAATTCATTGTCTCTGAAAAATGAAAAGAATGAGTATACAGTAATAAGAAATGTATTTGTTGACTTACTGTCTGATTAACTGATGTAAACGATGTGGATGAGGTATTAATGCAGCATTTGATAGAGTAATGAAAAAAAGGAAGATAACGACCATTTGGGCCATTTTAGAAACACTTCCAAACTTTGCTCTATAGCTCTTCTCTCATTCTGTTTTTATAACCTCGTTTATGGGAGGAGCTATGTTTTCGAATGGAAAAATAACAGCCCCCCCCCCCCCATTCTGATAATTTGTTTTCAGACTCTAATCTGAGGGATAAGCCACGCCTTTTTGCTAAGTTGGAACATTTGTTTTCATTGAAAAAAGTGATTGTCTGAGTGTCTGGTCTGATTGAATGATTGGTTCCTGAACTCTGACTTTTTATTTCATAATCGCGATTTCAAATTCGTTCAAGAAACCTACAGAAAACTAATAATCCAAATGGCGGTTAAGCGGTAAATGTCGAATTTTAATGTTGAGAAGATTTAGGATTTGGCGATTACTCTTAAAGTTTTCGGTCCGGTTTTTTTTCTAAATGCGGAGGGATCAGTAAGCTTTGGTATAAATTGTATTCAGTGGGCTAATTACAAAATGATGCGATTGTAGGAGGTAGAATGTAGCAAACAGAATACATCAGGGGTTACAATAAAGTTATAAATCTGAAGATTCGAATGGTTATTCGCATACATTTTGATTGCTCGTATTTCCAAAATATGCAGTAAAATTCCAACAACAAAAAACTAATGTTTCCAGCTACAATATAAATATCGTAAATCGTTTCCACCAAACTTATAATCCAAAATTTAAGAAATTTCTTGTGAAGTTTGGGAATATCTACAAATGTATATTTAACATCTTCAAAATCTTATCTCTGTCCTTGTTCTTATTTTTTCAATTCATCGAAAACGAATTTGCAAACACATGCTCCAGACAAAAACACTTCTCCGACATCTTGATATGACTCGGCTGAAATGCGAGTGAATTCTGAACAATAAACACTCTCTAATGCTTTAGTGATCCACACCAACAATGTGGGGGGGGGGCAGTGCTATGCCACAGACAGTTACCAACAACATCTATTCTGTGTGACACCCGAAATTTGACTATCATGATCACCAAACACCGGATTTTTACTTAATGTTTATTTATTTTTTTTTTTCGGGAATCCAGGAAGCGTGACAGACCAAATAGAAGAGTTTGATAATCAACTTAACATGAAAGCTAACACAAGTTATCCATCTAAAGATGATAAATTAATATACTCACAGCGAAGTGATTTGTAACTTTTCTAATCATATTTGAGATTTTCGCTTCTTCAGGCAGTGACAGTACCGGTCTATAAAATATACAACAATGATTTTTGCTGATTTTTCCCTATTTTGACGATTTCAAGGAGTCTGGAGCAGGGCTGTCAAGTTTCCGATCAGTTTGAAACTTTAGGAAGGAGTAAAACAGCCAGATCGAAAACTTTGTTTTCACAGAATTTTTTGAAAATTACTATATTTGCAAAATTTTCAAAGTGATGGGAAACTTGACAGACGAGCTCCACACTCATGTGAATAGTCAAAATTAACTAAAAAATACATTTCTGTGGATATTATTAAACGTTACTGCACTTGGGTCAAAAAATAATGAAAGACATTTTCCATAAATTCTGAAAAATGTTCAAGCATCAATCGTGCATTCGAGTTAGTCATATCGAACAATCGTCATAGTTATGCTGAAATGAAGTCGCTAACTTTGAAAAGCGTGGTTTATCCTGGATAAGCTCTCAGGGTCCAAATTTAGCACCGCCGAGACCACAAAGATATAATTTGTTGTTGCTCCGCCTATCTGGAAAAGAAAGATATAAAATCAGAATTCTATCGTCAAGTCAGAATTAAACATGCGATTTTTAATTCTGATCACTTTACTAGTCACCATTTCTTCCGCGACTCTTCTTCTCCATCCACGTCGTGATGGTGTCATCGGGCAGTGAGTTTGATTCTCAAGTTTGTTGGAAATTTGGTTCAATTTTCAGTGACTACGCTTTTGAGCGTAATTGCTTCTTTTCACCAGCTCAATGTCTCCTGGGAAACTTCCCTCGTAGATCCAAATTGCAACCAGTGCTTCGATTGTTCGAAGATAGCTCTCTTGACAGCATCTACACAAAACTGATGACTTCTAACAGCAGATCTTCTTTTTTTGGGTCCAAGAAATAGTTATAATTATTATGTTTCTGTGTATCCAATGATAAAAAGCCATTTTATATGTTGCTCTTACGATCACTTATAATAAACGATTTTTTATGTTGAAACCTATTTTTCGATACATAGTGTTATAAGTGTGTTTGATAAGAAAAATCAGTTGAAATTAAACAATTTATATTTTTTTTAAACTCGAAAGCTGCTTTTTTTGAAAATGATATCTTCACCGAAAGGTTTTGAGGGTGATCTACTAGTTTTTAATCTACAACATCCGTTATAGATTTCTGTTAAAACAGATGATAGTTTTTTCATTTTCCAATTTTCACTTTGACCTTCAAATGTTTGATCCATCAAAACCAGACATTTGGCTCGAAAATTTTTTTGTTGACCAAACAACAAATTTACCGTGGATAACACAAGATTAGGTCCCATGTTTCAGCTTGAATCGTCATTGACATCTTGAGTGGGGAATTCTTACACCACAGTTCACTTTTTTTTCTTTTTTTTAACTAATTCACACTTTTCAAAAGCGGATTGTCTGAATTCGCAACATTCCTTGAATGTCTCACACTTTTGCAAAGATTTGCAAGTGATCATGAATGATAAGAACGTTGATCTCAACGGGCTTTCCTGTCTGAGAACAATTTTAGATTAGTCGAGAGCAGAATGACGTTCGGGGCATAAATTTTGTGATGGACTAGACAATGTCATTTGCAGGCGTTCGTTTTAGTGAAAGTACGACTTGGAAATGACACTGAAAATAGCTGTATATTTTGGTCAGCAGAGGAAAGTACAGTTAGGAGAGTGGCAAATATTTGGTCTTCTAGGAAGATGTGAGAAAAGGGAAAATTTGTGGAAGAGGGACCCGGAAACGATTCATCAAATTTTCGTTTAGTATAGCAGTCGAGGAAAGAAATTGTTGCAATTCTGAGGAGTAGTGGACCATGAAATATGTTTTTTTTTTCTGAGAATCTGGTCACTAGGTTTACCAGAATTGAAAATTTGCCGTTCATGCTTCATCGTCCTATAGAGTCAACCCAATTTGATACCAAAATGAAGAGCGCGACAACTAACTTTGAATACATTCAGAAATTCTTCAGAAGACGCTCTTCACAATTGTATTTGGAGTAGCATTTCGGTATTTTTAAAATGTCAGAAACTCCCATCACCGAAATTGCAGACTTTAGGAATTTTGAAATATTCTGTTTTCAGAAGTTTTGGAATTTCGGAATCCGCTTTCTCATCAGAATAACGCTCAAGTTTAACAAAGAGATTTGGAGAATGCAAAAGAAATGGAAAAGAAAGTTCCGTTCCAGACCTACAAGGCAACTTTTAGTTCGCGCCTGTGACTTATCGTTGACCAAAAAGATCTCACCACGAAAAAAATGTGGAAATATTCTGATCGGAATTAGATTCCCAAAAAAAAGTTTAAATCGATTACATCTCTGATATGAGATCTTCAGCTGGAAACAAGTCAATAATTAATATTTTAAAAGTTACATTTTTGGATCATTCGAACATCCACGATATTATAGTTTTTTTTTCTTCATTTTTCGAGTTTTTTCAATTTCCCATCCAACAGCCATTTTCATTTTTTTTTTACAATTTTAGTATCTTTGCAGTTTTTCTATGGAGATTGTTTGTAATGTTTCCTTTCAAAAAAGAACAACATAATTAACAGCTTTCATTTATACAAGTCGAGTAGAAGAGATCAAAAATTGCATGCAGAGAGATTTTTTTGTTTTCAGAGAAGAGATTGGCGGGGAGTGGGGAGAGTTGAAGTCATTCTATCACATAAATTAAAGCATGAATCTCTTGTGAAACTTGTTGAACTGATGTTGCTGAACTGGAAGGAGGCACTGAACCGGCGATAGGTAGCAGTTGCGGAGTGGCCATGGTGATTGTGGTCGCTTCTGAGCACTTGGTTGCCACGAAACGCCTGTGCGAACATCGGAGTGTTCATGTAGTTGTTCTGGCTGTTACGGTAGGTCTCGAACGAGACTCCCGTACGAGCCTGGATTGGTGAGATTTCGAATTGTGGCTTGAAGCCAGAGCTTCCATAGCCGAGCTGAAAAATACATGTATGATAATAGACGGATGTCCCATTTCTGTTCTGTCTAAGTTATCAAATCATTTTAGTTGTTTTTTGGAACCTGAAAACATTTTTTTGAAAATCTTAAAAACGATAATCACCTGTTCAAATTCGACAATGTTGGCATTGGACACCCAGGCGAGAGCAGAGTGAAGACAGCGGAGAGAGCCAAGGTTGAGTTCATGTTTAACTCTGGAGTTTGAAATTTATGAAAACGTGAAAAACGCGGAAATTAAAGAATGGCAGAAATGAGAAGAATGGGTTAAATATAAAAGAAAATGGGCTGAGAAACCAGAAATCGGTTGGGAAAGGGGTAATATTGAAACCACAATAACAGGGTGTCCCACTAATTGATGTTATCCAATTCGAAATTCTACGAAACCGGATTGGTGGGATGTAGTTCTGATTGATGTCTGAAGACAGCTACACATTATAAAAAACGACCATATTCTAGCCGAAAAAAAAGCTTTGAAATATGTATATAGCTAAGATCGAATGAGCCTTATGAGGTTGTCTCCTCATTTTTCATGACTCTAGCATTTTTTGTTTTTATGCTGGTAGATTTTTAGATCTTCAGATTTTTAGGGATTAGACAAAAAAAATGGAATGCTTTCTGAAAATGATTCGTGCAAGCTCAATTCAACGAAAACTTGTGGATTTACAACTGGAAACTGAGATTCCACGAAACTCAAATAAGGATCGTTCATCACTTCCATCTATTCTCACAGGGATTAATAAGAGATTCCTCATCTAAGAGTTTAAAATTTCTAAGAAAATCAAAATCAGAAAGCCAAATGAATAATATAATACCTTATGGAGCTGAGCTTCACAAACACATGGTGTTGTTGTTGCCGTATTTGCATAACATCAAAAATATAATGATGAAAGTCGGAGGAGTAACCTCCTCATCCCCCCCCCTCCCTGTTGACTCTATTTTTAGGTAAGAAGAGGCACAGATTTTGTTTCGGCATGCATGAAATGAACTGCGTATTCAGATCATGCAATAATGATTGTTTTAAAATTTGTGACGTTAGTTTTGAGGTTTTTGTTAAGAATAATTTTTCAATTCACTCAAATGACGTCTTTTAATGAGTCAGTTAGTACCATTAGGGAATTTAGGTACTACGTCTAGTTTTACTATCCTAATGTTTGTCCACTACTCACTCAGTAAAGAAGTCAAATTTAGTTGAGAAATGAGACCCGAAAAAGGTCCGGGTTTAGAAATGTATGGGTTTTCTTTCGTCCCAAAACATCCCAGACGAAATTCTGGCAAGAATGAAAGAAAAGACTTTGACTCGACTCCACCTCCTGGCTTCCTACAGTTGCTTAGCACTGTTTAGTACACACGGGACCAGACAAGCTCAAGTCTGGCCACGGGGAACCACTCGTAAAAATTTACGGTCGTATCGGACGTTTTTTAGTATTTTTTTTATTCCGACTCAGTCAAGTGGCCCACTTTTGGGATAAGAATGACGAATCTCCGTATAGAAAAATGACAAGAATGGCTACTGTCTTTTGGAATATAAAATTCTAAAAATGACGTTGGTAAAAAGAGTTAAAGAGATGTGAAGGAGTGGATGGTTGAAGGAGCATGAGAGTATGATAAGTAAGTCTACAACATTATCAGAAGGTGCAACTGGTGACTAGATTAGCTAGCCAAGCAGAAGTCTGCATCAGAATGTGACGCCCACAATTTCTGCTAGGACGCTGTACTAATGAATACTGAAGATCAATTTTTCTAGAACGTCGAAGGTACCTATTTGGGAAAATTGTAATTAAAACTATTTTTGTTGCTGGATAAATGTTCTGATGAGAAAAGTCTACAAGCAGAATTTTTCAACCAGCAGAAATTCTTGAGTTACAACATTTTTTTACATATTTGGCTTATCAGATACAGCACTGGTAAATAATATACGCAAAATTTATTTTCAGTAGATTTTTTGCCATTTTGACCATTTTCAAGAGTCTGGTGCTTGGCTGTCAAGTCATCGCTCAATTTGAAAAATTGAAAGGGTGCGAACCAGACCTAGATTAAAAACTTTGCATTAAAAGAATTTTTGAAAAATTCCTAGTTTTTCAGATATTAGCCGAATTCTGAAAGACACCACTTTTTGAACCGATTATGTCAAAAAATATAGAAAAATATATTTCAGAAATCAGGGGAAAAACTAGAAATTTTCAAAAAATTCTGTGAATTTAAAATTGGTTTGTTTTTTAACCTCCAAAATTTCCAAGGTGGTTAGACACTTGACAGCCGAGTTCACAACTATTGAAAGTAGTTAAAATCAGCTGAAAAAACACGTTTTCGTATATCTTATTAACCGGTACTGTATGTTTGTGGATAAAACAAATTGAGCATAAATCTCAAAACTACACGTTTTTTTATATATTAACGGCGAGCATCGTAGCAAAATAGAAAATTTTTTCAATTGCAAAACCTTGGAAAACCGCTTTGAAAGGATGAAAAAGTGTTCCCGTTCATATCTGAAACTTTCTGGAAGGTTCAGTAACTGTTTTTGAATTCTCGTTGAAACTGAAAATCCTAGGCCACCTCTGGAAAAGTGTCGGAATCACAGTATTGGAGGGAGTTCTAAAACAATTACAGAAGTTTCCAGGAGTTTCCAGAAATGGAAGGGGACTGAGATTTTTTTTTGGTTTTTAAAGCGGTTTTTCGAGATACTGCAAATTTTTTAGAACTTTTTCTTTGGAGCTATACGAATCTACATATTTTCTACACATTTTATGTAAATCGAAGAATAATAATTTCGGACCGGAGTCCCTCCTTAAAACGTCTTTTCACAATTGGGCTCTTTAAACAATTAATCAACACAAACTCCGGAATATAAGTGTTTAAGGGTCTGAACTCGAAAAAAAGTAGACAATGATGAATCATAGTGTCAGATTATCGATACTTCTAGACTCTGAAAATATTTCATTTGTTATTTGACACTTGTGATTGTTTACGAGCTCTCACAATTACACAAATTTAACAATTCTCAGACCTGGGCTCTAGGATGCGTGATCAGAACGGATGAGTCAAGCAGAAAGCGGATGACAGACATCAACTCACGAATGAATAAGAATAAAAACAGAGAAACATCGTGGAAAACACTGTCTACAACCGAAAGCGTTTCCAAATGTTATTTGTAATTCATTGTCATTCAATATTTGAACCTAAGACACACAGATGTCTGCTGAGTGAAGGTCCCACTGAATATCAATACATATTAAAGTTGGAGCAAATGTAGGCAATCATGACGTTAAAACCAGAAAAAGAAAATTGTCAGTGTTCGTTTCGTTTTGTACTGAAAAACAAAAAATGTTTTTTTTCACGCTCGGAAGGCCAGGAAAAGCGCTAATGAAAAAGTGACAATGGGTGACCATAAGAAGGAAAGTCGAACCCGGAAGAATTATATTGTTTTCGACTTTTCCTTTCTTTGTTTAGCTTATACTTTTTTAAAAATGGAAAATTGTTCATCGATCTTCTCTAGTTTTTTTAAAGGTAGGAAGATAACTTGACCGGTCAAATATGAATCAAGATACATGAATTAGACAGGTTCTTTTTGGTTTAAGGTTGGATTTTTGCTGCTAAGTATTTTCAAGATAATTACATAAAATTGAAGCGAGTTTTGAAAAAAATAGATATCCTCAAAATTCTTACCTTTTTGAGATTTGAGCTCAAATTTTTTGGTCTGCAGAACATATAGTATTGGTCAATAAGATACGCATAAACAGATTAGTCGATTTTCAGCATATTCAGGAGTCTGAAGCTTGGCTGTCAAGTTTCCAACCGCTTTGAAATTATTAGAGGATGCAAAACAGATCTAGAATGAAGACTTTGCAGTTACAGTATTTTTTGAATATTCTTAGTTTTTGAACTACTTGCCGATCACTGAAGGACGCCTGTTTTTTCACCTTTTCAGTACAAAACGGTCCAAATAAGGATACCTTTCAGAAATCTGCGAATAACTGAAAAATAGGATTTTTCCAAAAAATTCTATGAATCCAAAGTTTTTAATCTATCTGTTTTACACCCACTAAAAAGATCTGACACTTGACAACAGAACTGCAGAGACCTGAAAATGGTCGAAATCTATTGAAAAAATGGTTTTGTTTATCTCATTGAGCGGCACTGTAATTAGACTGAATTAGGGTTACTTCATAAAGTTTCAAAGAGCGTTCGTTTTTGAAGGTTTCGATTCTCAGCGTCATGAATTCTATACAAGTTAGAAGGCAGTCATGACTACAAACTACATAAGATCAGCACAGTTCAATGATTTTTTGTTCTGAAAGCGTGTTTATTATAGCGGCCGACGTAAATTCTCTTGTTGTCCTCTTTGTCTCTGCAAACGATTTTCACCGTATAATTTCAACGGTGATCAAATTACAATTCAAAATTTTGGCAACAATTTCTGCTTATCATTCGCAGCGCGCCAAACATTTGGCAACATTTTTAGTGCTGAAACACACTGATAACACAGTGCCTATGGATTTTAGACAGATTAATGTCATTTCGAGTGGAATAGTATGCAAAAGCTGTCAAAAAAGCTTTTGTAGTTCGAATGTAGCAAAGCAGGAATGGACCAGAACTTTGATATTGGATCAATGAACAGAAAAGAAATGATCTACGTTCATGGCCTGTTTTTTTTTAAAAGTATCTTCCTAATGGATCTTGAACCTCTGTTATCAATGATAACTAAAATTGGTTCAGCGAATCGTAAAAGACGCAAGAGTGTGTCTTTTATTTCTTTAACTTTTTCTCATCATTATCATCCCGCGTGGCCTGTCCTGACATGTATAAATAGGCGCCCATATCACCACTCTTTCCCCATTCACAGTACATATCGAAAGGACTGATTTCCTTGATGATGATGATGGAAAATGGGTGAATGGGGATCATGAAAACATTTCTTTGTGGTTTACATTTGATCTTGTGATCTTTTGAATTTAACAGTCAAGATAGTTTTTTAGAAAAATTCTAAAAATTTAAACTTGTAAAACTAAACTCATTGAAGCGGAAGCAGTTAGCGAAATTCTCATTGCAAATATTTACTTTTCGATTCAATATTAGTTTTCACAATTATTAGAGACCACGTGGTTAGGAAATTCCACAAACCAATTCGTTTCCAATTCATTTTCCACATTTTCAAAAAAAAATTTTTTGAATTAGCTACAATAAGTTTCAATTACAGAGTTTCAAAATGACTACTGCTAAGGCTGACCTCTCAGAGTTCGAGCAAAAATTGGTGGACAAGGCTGTGGAAGCAATGGAAAGAGCTTACTGGTAAAATTGTTCAAACTGAAGTCAAAAAATTTCAAAAAAATTATTACAGCAAGTACAGCAACTTTAAAGTGGGAGCAGCTCTGGTCTGTGAGGACGGCGAAATTATCATCGGAGGTGGGTGGAGAGAGTCTGAGCTTTTATAAGCGTCTAGCTCATTAGTAAATGCGTGAAATTCAAAGTGCAAAAGGAAACATGGGGCTCCAGATGGATTAATGCACACTCTCACAAATTTCTAATCAGCCCTTATGATGTTCAATTTTAGCCAACCATGAAAATGCGTCATACGGAGCAACCATTTGTGCGGAAAGGAGCGCAGTGGTTACAGCACTGACTAAGGGACACAGGAAATTCAAAATGATTGCGATAGGTGAGTGGGGACTTGCCTGGAATGGAGGAGAAAAAGTGAAAATGGAAAGTTTTTAGAACATAAAGAGGAAAATGCTCAAAGAGTTTGAGAACTTTGAAAACTAATAAAAGGTTTTCAGCTACCGAATTGGAGGAACCATGCTCTCCATGTGGAATCTGCCGGCAGTTTCTGATTGAATTCGGAGACTACAAGGTATGAACATAGGCCAGTCAAAATATAAAAACAAAATAAACTATGAAGAAGAATCTATCTATAAAATTTCGCTGTTGTTTTTTTCACCAACTCAACGGAAACAATTATAATATATAGAAGGGAAAATTCAGTGAAATGAGAATACTAAGAGTCGTAATGAGTGTTTTCCTTCAACCTGCAAAGTCTACTACCGAATTTCAATATTCCGCATGACTTGTTTTTATGACCGCCCACGGCTTTTTGGTGTCAAGTGTCAATTTTTCGTTCAGGTCATTCTGGGATCCTCGACAAGCGACCAAATCATCGAGACCACTTCCTATGGGCTTTTGCCATATGCGTTCACACCGAAATCGTTGGATGACCATGAGAAGGAGACTGAGGAGAGACATCATCAATCGGAAACCAAGAATGGACATTAATTTTTTTCCTGAAGTTGAATTTTATATTGCTGATAATTGCTTTCCTACTAATAAACTTCTGGCTCTACTATGAAATTCTGGCCCTTAGAAAAAATCTGACTTTTGAAAAAAATCTGTTAATCAAAAAAATTGAATCATAAAAACTTTTGGCCCTTAATACCGTAAAACCTCAAATAGAACGACACCCGGATCGTCCACTTTGAGCCTATATATCTCATTTTCTGTGAAAGATATCAAAAAGTGGCTAACTAGTAAAATGTTGCTGATATCCTGATAAACATTTTACTAGTTAACCACTTTTTGATATCTTTCAAAAGAAGTGAGATATATAGGCTCAAAGTGGACGATCCGGGTGTCGTTCTATTAGAGGTTTTACGGTAAATCCTGGTCCTTATTCCTTGAAAAAATACTGGTTCTAAAAAAATTAATTAATTTAAATAATTTGGTTCAAAAAACATGCTAGTCTTAAAAAATGTTGGTCCTTGAGAAAATTCTGTTTCCTAAATATCTGGGATCTCAAAGAAAAATCCGTATTCTTAAAATTCTTATGTTGTTCTCCAAATTCTTATCCTCCTCAAACCCTGGTGTTTCAGATATCAGACTCACAGAAAAATTTGGATTTTCAAAAAGTTTGGACCTTAGAAATTCAAAAACAAGATCACCTAAATTTAAGTGATCCGCTTCGAATAACAGTAACTAAAACATTATTGGTCCAACAAAAATTTTGAACGAGACATTTAGATGTTTAGTCCTAATAACATTTTTTCATTAACTTGTTCATTCCAAAAGTTAGTGTTCTATCAAAAATAAATATTTCGTCTCTTTTCAAAAAATGTACAAAATCAATTCTGCAGGTTTTCTTGTAAAAAATACAGTACGCATTTATTAGGATCTTTATAATGTTTCCGCTGCTGTTTTTTTTGCTAGTTTTTAATTGGATTTCTTTTTTGAACCCCTAGTGCACTTCAACTGAAATCAACCTTGGAACAAGTGGATAAGGAACACTCAAAATAACCACGTTTATAAATCCACCTCGACGTTTGTACCTCCCAAAAAAACTCGTAGCATCTCAGTGTTCACATTTCTAGAGCTCTACAAATGATATCGTTTACAATTGTCGTCCCACTGTGAAGGACAAAGATACATGACGGGTCTATGTGACATGTGATCATGACGATGATGGAACATTCCTGTGTTTCGAATTCTCGATGGGACGTTTGTACACAGAATGATTTGTGTGTCTCCATCGACTCTGAAGATATATTATGATAATTCTAAGAAATTTCTTGTGTTTTCATTTGATCGATATTTTTTTTCAACCATGGAGCAAAGAGTTCCTACGTGAACTTCTGGGAATTCTTTTTGTCAATTGTTTTTCTGAGCTTTTCACATTTATTTTTCTTAGCCGCCCAATGAAAGTATCATATTCACGTGTGTTTGCCGTCAAATCGAATATGTGTCTGGGTCTATTTTCCTCATTTTTTTTCTTCACCTAAAACGTTTTTTTTTCACATAAAAACTATATCGATTTCCAAACGTTGAGAGCCCGAACACTTCTTTAAAATTGTATTACATCATCCTGTTCTCATCTATTTAAGTTATATGTCCTTATGATGTTTCCCACGAATTTCAAATCCAGTAATAATCCTGCCAGTCCAACCACCAAGGAACTAATCTTCTGATGCTCCAAGACAACACACACGTCTCAAGAAGCACCATAAATGTGGATCAAAAAGAAAAACGACAGATGGAGACTGGTAGTTTTTAGAGAGAGCATAAGATAGAGATAGAGAGAGAGAGAGAGAGAGAGAGAGAGAGGGGGGGGGGGGGGAGAGAGAGCCGGGGTGCGGTGGATAAGAGAAAAGTGTGCTGCTCACGCTCCTTGTGTATCACTTCTCTCTTTATGACTCATAGTCCCTCGGCCCCGCTGAGCAAACGCGCCCCAATGATTGAGTGTGTGTTGTGGGACCCCACTATGTTACTACTCAGGCAGAAGCAGTTGAGGTCCTCACGCGCAAAAAGCGTTGGTTCTTTTTTTTCGCTCTTTCATTGTTCGCTTTACTTACTTTTTTATTCTCTTTTTTCCTGCTTGATAAGATTATTGTTAGTTTGTTATTTGGCAAAATGCTGAGAATCAATCTGTCAAAATAGAAAAAAAATTATTTCAAATCGGGGTATTTCGTAGTATATCATAATTTTATAACAACGATTTGCAAGTTGTTAGCAACAATTTTTGAAAAATTGAACATTTCAGACTATTATTTAGCGGGAATCAAACTTTTACAGTTTTTAGCCTTACTTTTCTTTGATTTTTACATGATTTTATTGCAAAAATTGAAGCGGTTTACCATCTGTCTCATTTTTTCCAAAATTTAACAAAAATTCGCATAATTTTTTTCGAATCATCAATCATTTGAAAAAATTTGTCGACAAAAAAAAATTATCATAAATACCATGAAACCTGTTATTTGAGCTGTCAAGTTCAAGCTCAATAATCTTAATTCCAATTTAAAATATCGGAAATTTGCTAATTGACAAAACACTTATGATATTATGATAAAAATTGTTTTGCTCTAAATTTTGTCCAATCAGCTGGACTATCAATTTGCGGCAGAATTTTCCTATATGATATTTTTCTGTTTGATAATTCATCAAATATCAATTTCTATGAGATTTCAATCACGGCTCTAAATTTTTATGAGTTATATTAGAAATTATTTTTGGAAATAGTTTTTTTTCGTTCTCGTATTTCACACCTGCCCAGTAAAATCTTGGCAGGTCAACATTAAAAATCTAATTAGCTTTTCAAAACTCTCCAATTCCAAAAACAGCTGCTCTGACGTATTATCTAATCCTTGGTTTCAAAAAAACACACACACACACTAGAAATATCTGGGATTCCTGTTTTCTGATACTTATCAAGTTAGAATTGGTTGACCACCAATCCCTCCTACCACATGACAACGATTTCCTCCACCGCCGCATAATCCATTTCTTTTTTGCCTCTTATTTTTCCATATTTTTTTCCTTCATCTCATTCTCAATCCATATTTGATATCCATCGCAGCTGCTTCACATTGCTTACAAATCGGTTGCCACCGCGCTTTGCGGAAACGTTTTATTTCTTTTTTCGTTTTTCGAAATTCTTTTTTTCCTTCTTTTTATGTCCATCACTTTATAGCGATTCTGAATTTCTTTACTTTCTTTTTTAAACGTCACCTATTCTGGAAAGTTCACCAGGTGGATAAATAAATCTCATCGATTGAGAAAATCTCAAGGAATTCACGTATTTATTTCAGATTCTCATGGATTCGCGCACTTTTCAATAATCCTCTGTGAGATGAGATTTTCTAAAGTCCTTTTTTTCGAGTAGGTGCGAGAAGATTTGGATTGAGAAGAAAAAAAAATAAGATGAGAGAGGAACTTTAGATTTGTCATTCCTCTTGTAAGACGTTAAATGTCTTTTTTCTAGAATATCTCAAATTTTTTGGAAATCCTATACTTTTTTCAGTGATCAGTTAATTGTGAAATATTCATATTCATATAAATGTTCTTATTTTTTTTATTTCCTGTTATTGTTTAAAAATTCACATGTCTGTCATGTAAGATTTTCTAATTTCCGCTCCTTGTTTTTCATTTTTCATTTTCCATATTTTTCCACGCTTGTTCCCATTTTCTCACGATTCCTCATTCACGTTCAGCTCTCCTCTCGTATGAAAATCATATATTTTTTGAGTTCTATTGTTTTTAAAAATCTTTTTTCAGGTTATGAGCTCCAGCAAATGCGGTCTGGATCCATTGGTGGAGGAGGAACCAAGTAGTAAGTGATCTCTTGTATTCGTGTGTTCCCTGACTCACAAAAGACTAACAAGCAAACAAGCAGAATACTAGGAAAGAGAAAAAAAATAAGAAAACAGAAAATGGAGAAAATGGAGAAGCGGCAAAGGGAAAGATGAAATGTGTCAATTTCAGCCGAATCGCAGCCAATTCGCCACACAACAACGGCAGCGGCGTCGATCTCTCCGGTCCAAAATCGTCGCAAAATATCAGAGGAGGCGTCGGCGACGCGACCGTGTCAAATCAGAGCCACGCCTACCAAGTCGACAGAAAGTTCGAGTGTTGCCAATGTGGGTACGATTGCCCCGAATCATCGTCCGTCGCGGAAGTGTGGCTCACGTCTCAGTCTGACAAGTCTGCTCAGTTTTACCGGACATTCGACGTTCTCGCGTGACAGGTTAGTTGAGACATGTACACATCATCAATCTGATAGAACGTTATAATCCAAGATTTATTACTTTTTTGTTTCTGGATCTTCTGGTCATTGATTCTTTGAAAAAGTTCGCCTAATCGGTTCTCTATGAAGCATTGTTTGGCAAGTGCTCTCGATCATTTCCTGATAATCTGGTAAATATTAACAAACCAAATGCTTGCAAAGAAAGGTTTCGTGTTCTATGTCACACTATTTCGAGAAAAGCAACAAAATACTATATTCAATTAGATTCTCCAGGAAATGTTTCCTCAAAAATTTCAATTATAATTTTACAAATGTTCTATGAAACGTAAAATGACAGATCTGTATTGTTTAACGTTACATATCTCGATTCCTATAAAAGGTAGTGGGAACTTGAAAACTTACAAAATGGTGGTAATATTACGATAAACATTTTCTTAATTGACAGATTTTTGATATCTCAAATAGGAACCGAGATAATTGAGTTCAAAATGCAACTACAGTTTTACTAGAGCAAATGTGGTACTCAGATCTTTTTTTTCTGATAGAGTATTCGGAATGATCGCTTTCTAAAGCAAAGCATCCATTTTGATTTTGTACGGATGGTAAACTGTTTTTTTTCTCAAAATTCCCTATTTTCTTTAATATACGCCTGTTTTCTACTTGCACAAAGAACTGAACTACTTTGACTTCTGCACGAGATGTCAATAATTCGCAAACTAAAATTTTTTGACAGTATTTTGACAAAATTTGTTGTCTTCTGTGGAAA